GTGATAGATTTGTTTGTCATTGTTGCATGTGTGTTTTATTTTTAATCCATAACCGATTTTGGGTTTTCTATGCTTAAGATGCATCTTGAAATCGTTCCAAAAATATAGAACAGTACAATGAACAGCATACAATAATTTCAGGCTAACAATGTTGTCCAATTTTTCTGCATTCTACTAAGGTTTCTTTATGTTTTCTCTGTTTTGATCAATTCTCGTGAGAATAAAAATCAGTTTCTATGTTTTTCATTAATTTTCAATACGGGTCATATTCAAATCTATGATTTTCAGATTTTTTGATTCAATCTTATTCGAAACTGAATAACCCGAGCAAGAATAACACGTCTGTTCAAGTCTATTTAATCTGAAACAAAAAGAACAAAAAAATGCTTGTTTATTGAGCATTGAGTTTGAAAAAGTTTTTCTTAATGTGTCTTTCTTAATGCTTCTTCTCATGCATTCAATTTCTTTTAGGATGGAATTTTTTAAATACACGCTTTGAGGCCTAAACATCCTAAATTAGCTTTTGGAATTGTTGTATTTTGTTGTATTCATAAGAACTCTCATTGATGACAGAACAATTATGTTCTGGCATTATTTGATTGATTACAGTCTAATTGTGCGTAGTACAAAAACATGAAGTGGCAAAATATTGGTTACATTGGAAAAACGAAACATTTTTGTTATGCAGTAAAAAAATTGTATCTTAATAAACTGCAAAAAAAATTGGACGTTAATTTTTGAATTTCCAGTTATATATTTTTGAATTTCAGTGATTTCAAAAACACAGCCTAATTCACCGTGTTGCAAAAAACGCAATCTGCCAAAAAAAAGTTTTAAATAAAAAACCCAAAAGTTTTGAATTCTAAAATAATGTGAATATTTTTGTGTATAAGAAGCTGTTAATAGGTTGAAGTTTTCAAATATAGTTTTCGAGGTCAGAAAGTTGTAGCAATTTGAAGTTTGGTGGTGTGAAAAATTAGGCCGACTTGATCTTGGTGCAATTTGGTAATTAGCAAAACTAAGTCAAAAAATTCTGGAGTAAATTTTGTTAGATGATGTCCATTTGATTGTGAAAAACAAAAATTCTCATGAATGATTCAATTTGTAATTATAAACGTTTGAAATTTCGATGACGCCAAAAATTTAAGCCTGAACGATCTTCGCGAAAAAAAATTATTTTTGAACTCAAATTTTTCTGTTAGTTAAAGAGTCGCAAAGAGTCGCAAGCTAAGTCCCAAGAAAAAACATTCGTTATGTCTGAATTTTCAAGCAAAAAATAATGTAGCTTGCGAGCTCATTTTCTGTCAGATACATTTAAACAATTAGAATTTAATCAAATTAAGTTATTGTAATTCATTCTGATAAAAAATTACAGTTTATTCGACAAATACCGAAACAAGAAAACACATATTTGATTTCAATATCTTCAACTGAACTTCGGCTTATTCTAGACAGGGTGTTGACTGTTTCGATCGAAAATGTACGGCAGGTTTCAAAGAGCATTTTCACTGCCTGAGTTCTCCAAAAACATAAAATTTCACCAAAAATTATTAAAATTTGTTCATTTGTTCATCAGAAAAAGATCCATATCCATTTTTGCTAGAAGAGTTTGATTCTTTTGCAGAACCCGCACCAAAATTCCCTAAAAACCAAACAATGTCGGAAAACTATTACTGCGCATGAAAATCTTTCATTTTGTTTTAAATTGCATTTTTTTCTGTCAACAGTGAATTTTCTTCAGTTAATTTGTTTTGAGCAATACAATCATTCAATTTGCGACAAAATTTATATCGTTTTGCCATTTTTATTTTTCCATATCCGAGTTTTGATTTTTTTATGCTAACATGCTAATTTAAAAATGCAGACCTCAGAACAGTATAATAAGCTTCTTATAATCTTTTCAGGCTAATTATGATGTCAAATTGCTAAGCAAACTACCAAAACTTTCTTTCATTTTTAACTACGTTGATCAATTTTTAAGACAAAAAAATTGTATGTGTAAAAATTTAGTAGTTTTTAACAGGTCCATAACCAAATCCATAATTTTCAGAATATGTTGAAAATGAGAGAACATTTTTGACATAGAAAATAGTTTTCTTTTCATACATTTTTTAGCAATGGATTTTTTTGGCCGCAAGAAAGCGTAAAAGTTTTAAATTACCTTTTAGAATCGTGTTGTAGTATCCATTTGAATTTTCATTGACGATAGAAAATGTATGTTCTGTCATCATTTCATTGATGACAGCCTAAAAGTGCGGTATGCAGCAACGTAAATCAATTTGCAGTTTGATGATGTCAATAAACAACGTCTAACGATATAATATAAACATTCCTGCTGCAATTTCGTTAAAATTAAAACTTAAAAAAAATCCATAGCGCAATTTGACAGATTTGTGAAAAAAATCTATAGTACAATTTGTGATAAAAAAGGTTGTAAATTAACCAATTTTTAATTATTTTCCTTGGCAATTTCAGTGATTTCGAAAATTTATGCCTAATCAAGCGTGTGGTGGGGAAATGAAGAAAAACGTAAATTTTTTTTTCTAGAGTCGTAAAGAGTCGCAAGCTAAGTCGCAGAATCACGTTAGTTATAATTTTTATATCTTCAGCTCAAAATCTTCTCAACTTTAGCATTAAGTAATGTAGTTCGCAAGCTCAATATTAAAATTTGTTTTCGAGCTGATTATTTTTCATTAACTTGTCTTTCCCTATCTTATTTGGGCTTGTTTTTTCCTACAAATTTTTAGTCGTAATTGGCACATGTAAATAACTATTTGAAAAATAAACTTTCGTGCTGACAAAAAGCCGAGGAGTTTTAAGAAGTTATAAGAAACAAGTCAATAAACCAGACTTCTAAGCCCTGACAATTAGTATTGCTGAGTAAAATAAAAGTAATGTTAGTCAAATTTTTGAGTGATGTTTTTGACAGTTAGAATTTAACCAAATAGAAGTGATATTTGTATTTCAAGCTGCTTAAAAATTTTGAGTTTCTTCATCTGACCTTCGGACTCTTCTAGACAAGGAAATGACTTTTTGAATCCGAAGTATACTGCAGATTGCAAGGAAATTATCAGTGCTGAATTTCTCAAAAGTGTTACAATATCACAACACAAACTCATTAAAATTCACCAAGTTTTCTGTAAAGTATAACTTTTTTGCAAATTTTCTGGCTTCAAAGCTGTCAGATACTATTAAAACTATAAAAACTAATTACTCATGTTCAAACAGAATATTTTGCTTATTCTAAAGAGTTTTTTGTTTTTAGATTTGCATTTTTCAAAGTTCAACAAACTATTGTTATTTATTAGGTTTCGCTGTATTTCAAAAAAAAATCGTTCCTGAAAATTAGTTTACAAAAAAACTTTTTCCTCGTAAATTGACTATTAGAACGATTTTACAGTTATTCAGTTGAAATTATTAACAGTTAAGTAAGGAAAATCCAGTGCTGTTTTGTCACTGTTCTTTTTTTTTCCGCGTCTGTCTGTAATTTGTCAGATGAGTAACTCCCACTTTTTTCAGAAATTCCCTATTTTTAAAGCTGCTACTTCACTAGCCTTAATTCTTATTCTGTCCACGTTCGTTTTGGCCTTTTCAGCTTGAGATTTCATCCATAGCGTGTTTGTCACTCCTTAACTTTTTCCTAATAAATCTTTTCATTTCGTACCTATCTGCATTTTTTTTCAAACTAGTTTTTTTGCAATTGTAGAATTTATTTGCAATTGTAGAACGCAATTGTAGTGTTGTTAATTACATTTAGATAAAACACATCATTTGAAGCTGAATTGTCTGTCAACTTTCGATGTTTGAATGTTGCGTAAGCATCATGAACTAGCTCTTCCCTTTTTTGTCACAAGGATTTCTTTTGTTGACATAAACTCGAGAGCAATAAAAATGAAAATAGAATCAGTCATATCTACGTTTGGCATAAGCATCAATCAAGCCAGAATTGTTTGAGTATGCGTATATGATTTGACTACTCTTATAAAATTGTCTCTAATTTGCTATTTTGAAAAATCCTATTGTAATTGCACAGTTGCGAGGCCTTAAAAATTAATCGTTTTTATCAGAAATTTTTTCTTCAAATTAGTCCTGTCAGGGGCGGATTTTAGTGGCGGGCGCTTTCTTTCTTTAAGTATTCGACTCCTGCTGAACCACATGGTTCCCTCTTTGTTACTTTCGAAAAAATCCATTTTTGGCCGACCGAACCTGAAATTTTTATAAAGGCGGGTAGCGCGCGCCAAAAAAACGCATTTTTTTTGTCAAAATGGTCCAAAAAGTGTTTAAAAACGGATTTTTTTACCTGTTTTTCAGAAATCTTCCTGCGGCGCAAACGTTTCTGTCCAATTAGGGCCTTTACAGTGTTCTGGGGCCGCTCGGAAACTCAATTTGGTTAACCTAAATAAAGGTTGACAAAATTTTCAATCCGCTACCCCTCCCTCGGGGAGAGGGCTATCTAGGGTGTCAATTAGCGGGACAGTTTTGGGACAATTTAGTCTGGGAACTAAATGGTATTTTTTGCTTTATTGAAATTTTTGTCCAGGAAATAAATGCCCGGAAACTAAGTATCCAGATACAAATTAAGACACAATCCAACTCCCTTTGAATAATTTTCTGCTGAATGGCAGCCCCTCTGCTTGAAGCAGCAACAGTTGATAATAGATTGTTGATGTGATGCATTCCAGCCATCCTGGTCGCATTCGAGAGTCAAATGACTTTCGTGGCCTAAAACCTCGGTGTAACTCTGTAAAATTTGTGTCTGAGAATATGACATACGGTGTCGTGACTTTCAAAATCTGGACATAAGTGGCGGGCCTCGACCACCCGGACCCAAAACTTAACCCCCTAATTTTTTTCTTTTTAAGACTCGGAGTCATTCGTAGTCCATACTGTATTTTGGTTTCTCAGATTGAACGAGCTCGGATAAATCTCGTGAAATATAAAAAATACGTTCTTGTGAAATATAAATCAACTCTGAACAGTCCTGGTTTGTTCATGTTTAGTGAGAACAGGAGATGTTGAAGACAACGTGAAGGCATTCCTCATCTACTCTATCGTGTCTTCTGTCTTCACTGTTATACTCCTCCTAGTGATGCTCTTCATGTGGAGTAGGGTCAAACTGGTGAGTCATTACTCATTAGGGTTCAAAAGTTAAGGTGTTCTAACCCCTAAATAAACCAAGTTTAATCCGCGACGACGATAACCGCCTGTCATTTTCATAACAGTCGGGTATCTCGTGACAGGCGAACACGCGACACGCATCAGCCTAATTGACCTTTTAAGTCGTCTCAGTGCCCAGTTGTTATTTGTTCCCAGTTTCCACCTGTTTTTTTTAGTTGACCGGACCGTTGCCCCGCTAATCTAATCAAAAGAACTTGGCGCTGCAAATAAAAAAAACTCAATCCTGATTGGCCGAAATTTCTAACTTAGCACCAAATTCACATCCTTCTTCGCAAAAAAATTGAGCGGTGAGGAGCAAAATGTTTGCAAAATGGTGTCCTTCTGAATTCGGGTTGACATTCTCCAAAAAACAACCCCCATCACCGGCTAAGAAATAACTGCGCACCCCTGTGAACAATGAATTATATATCATTATCATTATTTATAAGCCATTATCATTATAAGTCATTATAATTATAATGAAGCATAAAGAATTCTAGACAGTAGCGGATATCTGGCACTCGACCCTTGACCACCCTCTAGGTCCTCCTTTTGCACTATTGAACAACATCCATTTTTTGATTGACCGATCCTAGTTTTAATTCTTCAAAAAGTGCCTTGGCCGCGAATATTCATATATTTGGTATGGGAGCACGCGCCGAAAAATGGGGAGGTATAAAACAGGGGTGGATCTAGGATTTTCTCGAGGGGGAGGGGGGTCGACCGATTTTTTTTAGGTCGACCGAATTGATTTTTCGAGCTCTCCCTAAGCACGGTTTAGACCCTGTTGTGGCCAAATTTTCAGCGCCGCAGGGAAAACTTTGAAAAAGCTGCCCAGAAAAGGCGTTTTTAGGCACTTTTTGGAAAATTTTGACAAAAAATCGCGTTTTTTCGGCGCGCGCTCCCCCCTCAAAATTAGTATATATTGGCGCCAAAGGCGCCTTTAAAAAATTTCAAGGGTAGGTCGGCCAAAAATGGATTTCTTAAAAAGTACCAAAGGGGGGACCCTTTGGGTCGTCAGTGGGTCGAATCCCTGAAGGAGGGGCGTCCGCCCCCCCCCCCCTAAATCCGCCCCTGGTATAAAACCTGCCCACAATCTCATATTTGCCAAAAGAAATACTTAATGGACAATTTTGACAAAAGAATAATTGTGACGAAATTTGGTCCTTATATGTTTCGTGAGAACCCGAAAAATCAATGTAGATGAGTCAGCAACAAGGTCAATTGAATTTTTTTGACTCACATTGAAAACAGCAAAGCTATGGTAGGATACATCGAGATTTGGTAAACAAAAACCAAACGAGCAAATTTATGACGTAAACGTGACAGGTGAAAATAACATCCAATGATCTTCTGAAAGCTTATATTCTGGTCTGGTTACTTTTCGTTCCTCTCTGAGAACGGTAGTCATTTAAGTGGGATACTCTAACCATTTAATTCTTCAGAACTTTTTTGATTGAAAGGAACAGGGTTTCGTGCTTTGTTTGCAGGTGGTGGCCCTCTTCAAGGAGGCAGGCGCAGTAGTGATGTCCATGCCCTTCATTATAGTGCAGCCATTCTTCGTGAGTGATTTTGAGAATGCCTTTGTACTTTTTACTTCTACCTTTTATATCAAGGACGCTTGCTCCGATTTTTTGAAGAAAGCGAGAGGATGTTTGTTCCGAGTTTTGGCTAAAATGGTGGAATATTTGAACTCGGTGTGATTTTTCCCGGCCTTCAAAATGGTCATTTTAACACAGTTTTTGTACAGAAAAGATCGATGCTCGGAAGTCACACGATATAAACACCAAAAAAAAGTTCAAAAAACAATGAAAAAAGCAGCTTGTACCAGTACGAAGTTCTGAATATTCCAACTGCCTTAGGTTTGCCGCGTGTCTGAAGTAACTTTTGATGCGAAAAAAAAACGAATTAAATTTTTGAATATTGGTTAATTGATGCTCTCACCGCCCAAGGGGTCCACCTTTGGTTCAATTGTACGACAACGACATCAAGTATTAGCAGACGACCCTAAAATTTTTCTAGAGGTGTCTTTGGTGTCAATATAAAGTAATTTTTTTTTTTGGGGGGGGGGGGGGAGCGTTGAACAAAAAATCGGTGGAGGAGGAGCTAGGAAAGTGTTTTAGGGGAAACTAGGAAAATCAATTTGGTCAAATTAAAGAAGATCGACAAAAATTTTGAAATAATTTATGTTAAGTCGAGCACCTTGACCCGGGATTCCAAACTGCACAAAACTTTTTTATTTCACAAAAACAATCACAGATGAAGTATCTTAATTTTGTGCAAAATATGAGTTAAGTTTTGAGCTTGGGCATTAATATGTTTTATAATGTACACAAATTCAATTAACAAGTCGACATTTGTCCGAAAAAAAAAACAACTCGAGCACAAATATTCCGTCGCTTTCTTAAAAATCAACAAAAATCAGGTTACAAGCTAATGAAAAATATCACCAAGATCTGTAAAAAAATTCATGAACAATTCTTTCAGATATTCTCCAACACATTCGGAAGAAGCAGTATTGTTTTGTATAATATTATGTATTTTGGATCTAATTAGATTTAAAGACTTCTAAGTTGTAGCATATGGTCACCAGCCAGAGAATTTTTAAACTGACATATTTATTCAAAAAGAATCAGGTTATTTGACCAAACCATTAAATATGGAAAATATACACAAAAAATTAATAAACAACAACACAAAGATCAAATAAAAATAAATAACGCAAAGTTACTAAATGCAACTAATAATAATTTTCGTCGGATTAATTTTTTAAGCTTGCATGCAAACTTGAGAGTCCAGTAACATAGGAAGAAAAGCGGGTCAGAGTTGACAGTTAATCTAAAATCCAAAATCGGTAAAATCCAAAATTAAACAAGGTTTACCGCTTGACTTTTTCATCAATGTCTTTTTTATCATGAGGAAACACAAAACTTTCCAATTTCCCTCTCTTTTTGATCAAAAGTTTTTTAATCTAATTTTTAAATTTAATTTAAAAAAAGAGTTTTAAAATTAATAAACATTTTGTTATTTGTTTTTATCCCCTCACACGCTATTTTAGTAGACAGTGATGCAATTTTGCTTTTGGTAATGTTTTATTTTGAGTATTTTGGCTTGCCACATTTCAATTTGGATTGATTCATCTTGTGGCTCACGCTTTCCCAAGTCGAGGTGCTCGATATATGTTTCGACTTTGAAAGTCGATAAAACGCAGTTTTTCGAATAAAATTCCACAGTCGAGAACATATCTAATTTCGGTTGAGGTTGTCGGAAGATATGTCGAGCAGATTTCAGTTTAAGCTCATGTTTTTGTGATCTAGAGAGTTGGTATAGCATTATACATCCCAATGTTACTCACGCCGCTTAATCCTTATAAATCCCATTGTTAGCCACGCTGCTTGAAACGAATCTGAGACGAATCAATTAATATTGAGAAAATTTTTCGTCTGTCGAGAAAGTCAAGACAGTCGAAACATACCCATTTTTGATCAAAAAAATCAAATCATAACTCTGCCGGGTCGAACAAAATTTTTTTAAAAATGTCGGTCGAGACAGTCGAAACCTTTTTTGACTCAAAAAAATCAAAACATACCAAAATTTACTCGAGAAAATTGAAAAACACCAAAATTTGGTCAAGAAAGTCTAAACTTATCGAAACTTGACCGGGACGGTCAAAACATACCGAAACTCGGCTGCGAAAAACAGAACACAAACCGATCATCTCGACTCGGGTATTGCAAAACATTTTGCAGATTTATTATTCCATTTTCAATAAGAGTCGTCAAAGTATTACCAAACTCTATCCATTATGTTTTCGAAGAAAAAGCCAAAACTGATCCAAAAATGGAATATTCTTTAAATTTCGAGCACTGGGCATCTAGATCTTTTACATTATAAAATTGTCTGTCCAATTTAAAAAAAAATATTTTTTTTTAAGAAAAAAAATTTCAAGCGCAAATGTTTTATCAATTTCCTCGATATTTAGAACAAAAAAATTTAATAAAGACATTACGAGGCCAAATTGTGCACTGGATAGGCGCACAATTTTGTGTCTAAATGTTTGTGGATTCCAGAGACAAGTCTTTAAACATGTTAAATTTTTGTTGCAACAATCAAAGAAAGTAAAAGAATAAAAGAAGAACAAAGGAAGCGTCCTTGTTGCGGAATCCGCTTACCTTTCCCAAAAAGCACAGTTTCGCCGCGTAATGGAATTAAAATTGAGAAAACGAAGTTATTTTATTATTTAAATGGACCAAAATTTCTGGTACTCAGTCTCTAAACTTAGTTTGCAGACACAGAATATTGCGATTATGATTTCAGGAAAACTCCGCCCAAATATATTTCAAAAAATATATAAAAAAATTTGAAAAAGGTAATTTTCCAATTGATTTTTTAAAAACACTGCTGATTGAACCTACAAAGAGATGATTAAATTAAAGCGCCGTTTCATGTAAGAGTTTCAAAAAACTGCTACGCCAATTCTTTGCAATTTATATCAAAATAAGCCCAGTTTTTGGCGATAAAAAAAAACAAAATTCAACACGGATCAAATATTAAAACAATTTTTTTGCGTGAATCCAAATCGAAAAAAAAAATGATTCAAAACAACTAATTCTTAAGTCAAAAATTGGGTAAACGACTAGAAAACAAAAAATCAATAATATGAAGTTGTTGTTTTCATAATAATTTTCTATTAAAACCTAACTCGTTTTGAGAAGAACGAGATTAATTTTTTAATGATAGTTTGTTTGGTCAATGTAAAATAAATTATTAAAACTAAATTATTAAATTATTAAAACTAGTATTTTTACCACTGTTTATTTTTTCAGACGATAGTGACAGTTGGAGGTTTTCTCACGTATTGGGGAGTCACAACACTGTACATTGCATCCTGTAGTTAGTATGATTCATCCTGTGAAAATCAACAACGCGAATTGTTTTCTTTTGAAACAGCAGCAGATTGTGTGTGGGGGGGGGGGGGGATGGCGTCATAATTCGGTGACTCTACCGCCCAAAGCCCCCCTTTGGTACTAATTTACGCAATCAATTTTTGGAAAAAAGCATTTTGGAAACCTTTGTGAAAATTTTCCTGCTGCGTAGAAATTTTTTCTCTATGACGTTTACGTTTGGGTTTTTTGTTTTTTGACCAATAAACAGAGTCAGGGTGGATCTAGGATTTTCTCGAGGGGGTGGGCGGATTTTCAAAAAATTTGCGAAACTTTGTCGACTTTTTTTTAGGTCGACCAAATTAATTACTTTTCCGAGCTTTCACAAAGCACTATAAAGACTCCATTTTGACAATTTTTTTGCGCCGCAGGCGAAATTGTGAGAAAAAGTCCAAAAAATGCGTTTCCCCCTAAGAAAAATTTCAGGGTCCGTCAGTCAAAAAAGGATACATCAAAATAGTTCAAAGGTGGGACCCTTTGGGTCGGCAGGGTGTCGAACCCTGAGGGAGAGAGAAACGTCCGCCCCATCCCCCAATACTGCAACCCTCCCCCCAAATCCGCCCCTGAACATAGTCCTCATTATTTGTATTTTAAAAACAAAGACAACTCGAAGAGATCTTAAATCGGTCCCTGCCATTATATCTCTACGTTTTAGAGCATCAAGATTCAAGAGGATGAAATGAAATGAACTGATTCGTCCTGATTTTTTTGCGCTTTCTCGACTATTTGGCGGTTAAAATTTCGTAATCGGAACGCTTAATTTGTTGAACTGTTGTTACTTCTTGGAAAATGGCATTCGAGCATCCGACATCCGACATCCTACCCCTTCCGACATCCTGCATCCGAGATACTCCCCATTCTAAGCCCATTCCTGCACCCTTACTTCATGAAAATTGCCAGATTGCTTTTCAGATTGATTTTACTATAAATAAACATTTAAATATTACAATTTTTTAAATTCAGATAATGAGAAATTTTTCATCTGAAATTTACAAAAGAGATCGAAATGGTCAAAATTAATCTGACATTTGCTATGTTGATACGTATAGGACTATGATTCTTTAGGGTATGTTTTTCATCAGTAATTGATGGATTTCTTAAGTCTGAACACTTCCATTTATCTATACAGGTTGTGATAAAATATTCACACATTTCAGAGTCTCCTGAAACCAAGGATACATCAGATGGTACTTTCGTCTTTTACGAAACCAACTCGGAGATGAAGGTAAGACATTCTGCTATCTACTTTGTTGAGACATTTTTTGAATATCTGGGAAACCGTGAAGATCGATTTGAGCTAGACCGCGTTGTTTTTAAAGAAAAAGACAGCAGCTTTTCTCACCAAAGAGTTTCGACTTTTTTTAAAATTGATAATTTCATTTATGCAATTCGGCGACATTACAACTATGAGATGAGAGCTCAAATTTTATCAAAGGCCCTTTTCCCCTTTTGCAAAAGCACTGGACTCCATACTGGATGACCAAGTTTAGTTGTGGCTACTTTGGTTTCAGAAAGCGTTCTGGTACCACTTGTTCGGTCTGTTCTGGATCACACAGTTCCTGGTGGCATGTCAGTTGATGATCATAGCAGGAGCAGTGGCCTCGTGGTACTTCACTCGGGACAAGACCAAACTGGGATGGTTCCCTGTCTTGGCCTCCTTCTACCGGACAGTGCGGTACCATTTGGGAACCCTGGCATTTGGATCTCTAATCATTGCAATTATCCAGTTTGTGAAAGCTGTCCTCTCATACGTTGAACAGCAGTAAGTGTTGTTTTCACCCGTCATAAATTGTCAGAAAAAATCACTTGTGAAAATGAGATACCTGTAGAAATGTCGAAGTTTTTGATTCAAAATAAGCGCTAAAAACTAAAAAATACTAACGTTACTCGAGTAAAACTAAGTTTTCACGTTCTAAATTAAGCTATTGTAAGCTTTTAAGCCCTTAAAGTAAGCTATTGTAAGCCTACACGCTCTCATTATTCGCTCGATTTAAAACGAAAAATCAAAAATTTTTCGACACTGGGAAATTTTTTTTGAAATTTCTGAATGGCGTTCAAATCACGACTGTAAAGTCTTCAATATGATATATCACTCAAATCTCTCGGATAATTATTTGTAGCAGCTGATTTAAAAAAAAGAAAAAATTTAAAAATATTTCAAATGGTCGGAACAATAAAACGGAAGACAAATTCCAAAAAAAAAAACATTATTTTTTGTTTTGAAATAAATTGTTGGACATTGAAAAACATAACATTCAACTGCAAGAGAGCATCTAATTTAAACAACGGTAGAGTCACAATCATTAGTTGAGAGCGAAATTTGATAAACCAGAAATCTACTGAAACTTTGCAAGTACAAAGACGAGGAGCGGCGTAGAAAGTCAGATACTTAAACGAAATTCAATGGCATGCAGATTGGCAACACAAAAAGGAAACTTCCTTTCCCATTAAATTAAGCCATAAGCAGGGAAGGCTTGAAAGTTTTAAAAAAACCTATCAGCAAAAAGTGAACGAGATGTGAACAGCTCCGAAAAATAAAAATGTCACTGCTAATCACAGTGAACAAACCCGTTGGGTAACGGATCTCGAGAAAATTATTTCAACAAGGGCTTTGAAAAAAAAACCTGGATGATTTTAACTGTGGATGAGGAAATAGAGGTCATTAGAACCAGATGCAAAATCTGAAAAGGAATATGTACCGTATTCAAAAACCACGCATGGTGTACCGAATTCACCTATGATGGTCTAAGAGTCGATAATCAAAACCTTTTTTAACATATATCTCCCAGATAATGCTACCGTTTCGACTGCTCCAGTAGTTGTGGTACCTTCTCCGAGCTTAACTTTGGATAGAGACGGTAAACTCTATACAACAGACTCCCAAACTGCCAGCCAGTTGGTCCCCTACAGCTGAAAACTGCGAACAGTAAACTAAAGGTGAGTTAGAATGGAAAGTTCAACCACGAAGCAATCAACGCCGCCACCTGAAACAATTCGCAGTAACTTTCGTCTACATTCTAGACATCAGCTACCAAAAAAACATTAGGACGGGTCTTTTAGCATAGTCTGGAGAAAAAAAATTTGTTTTCATCTACTGAAGCTTAATGAGTACAATGACAATGTACAGCGTAGAAAAGCTGAATTTCAAGCGAAGTTCATTGGCAGGAAGATTGGCGACAATGAATGAAAGCAAGCTTCAATTCCCATTGAACTAAGCCATAAGCAGGGAAGGCTAGAAAATTTCAAAAAATCTATCAGAAAAGAAGTGAACCAGATGTAAACAGCTCCGAAAATCAAAAATATCACTGCTAATGTCTACGGAGTCTGTAGCCAGGAACAAACCCAGTGGGTGACCTGGACTAATTTAACTGGGGCTAGGAAAATAGAGGTGAATAGAACCAGAGACAAAATCTAACAAGGATAGCCGGTTACTGTGCAAGTAGCACAGAATATACCGACCACAGTCTCATAAAAAACACAAAAAAGTTTTTTTTTCGAATTAGTTTCACTTTTTTCTGCATGTTGTGATAAATAGATCTGGACGAAAAAATAGAATTTAGTTATATTTGAGAGTCATACTAAGATAGGTCAATTAGCAAGCAGTTTTTGAAGACAAATGACTTAAACCGAAAACAAAAAATTTAAGAAACTTTTTGCGGAAATTTTTTGAACTTTGAAGTTTTTGATTCCCAAAATTGCGCTAAGAAACTCCGAAAACTACCTTTACTTGAGTAAAACTAAATTTTCACGCCTAAATTTAGCTCAAAAAACTAACTACCTCACTAACTACCTTACTAATTAGCTCAAAATCAGACCAAAAATCAAAAATTTCGAACCGGTTTTTCTCAACACATTTTTCTCGACACCGGTTTTTCAAAACCCAGCATGATGTACCGCATTTACGCATGGTGGTCTAAGAATGGATAGTCGAAACTTTTTGGACAGCACTTGTGTACATATATCCCCCAGATAACGCCACCGCTTCGACTGCTCCAACAGTTGAGGTACCTTCTCCTAGCTTAACCTTGGATAGAGACAGTAATATCTATAACATGGACTTCCAAACTGCACGCCAGTTAGTACCTTGCAGCTAAAAACTACCGAGTTAACTGCTTCCGCCAAAATAGTCAGAAAGGTCCGCCTCAACCTTTGACTCAAACGCAGCCACCAAAAACAATTATGGGACGGGTTTTCATTATCACAGTCCAGAAAAGAACGGCACATCCGGCAAAGAAGGGTTAATTGGCATCAAGACCGCTGAGTGTTCTCTCTTCAACCATTTTCGATTGAAGAGCCGACACCGGAATATTCACTTAGGCATCATTGCCCCCAGTTGTAAGCCGGCGGCATCTGCAAAAAAAAACCTCGATATGAATTGGCTGTCCAAATCACCAAAAAAGTTTTGTTCAAGTCCACGGAGGATTCTCAGATTGTACTACACGTGGACGAAGACTGAACAACAGCTGATATTTTCGGATGTCGAGAAAATCCTCGACAGGACTATGGCCTTGTCGTAACTAAGACTCTAAAGAGCAGAATACGCTAAAAGGAGTTGGGAAAACAGCTAGTTGAGACAGAAAGCTTTCTAATTTATCTCATTTATTTATTCTGCGACTACTTACTCACATATCTTCGGCGTGATTGTTCCGACCACTTCAAGAAGTGAGGAACCATGGCATAGCGGCTATTGTTTTTTCCATCTGATTTTCAGTACTTCAAAGAAAGATCGTCGGGGATGAACTGTCATATTGACCAGTGGCACGCGCCGAAATTTTTATAGGGGGGGGGGCAGTTTTTCGAGAAAAAAAATTGAATTTTTTAACCTTTTTGTAAGCCGACCAATTTGATTTTCTCAGCTCTCCGAAAACACTATGAGGACCCTATTTAGCAATGGCGTTTTTAGCGGGGTCTTCGTGGCGGGGGCAGAGACCTTCCCTCAGAGATCCGATCCCCTGTCGATCCCAAGGGTCCCCCTTTGTACTATTTTGAGATATCCATTTTTCGCTGACTGACCAAAAACTGTTTCTAAGAGCGCCTTCGGCGCCTGTATTTAATAATTTACGCGCTCCAATCAAAACGCAGTTCTTTGGGCAAATTTTCCAAAAAGTGCCTAAAAACCGCAACTTTTGGCCTGTTATTTTGAAAAATTTGGGAGAGCTCAGAAAAACAATTTGTTCGATCTAAAAAACAAGACAAAATTTTCGAAAATGAAAAATTTTGCAACCACAATGAAAAAATTTTGCAACCAGAATTAAAGGGGGGGGGGGCGGAGTTCGCCACGCCCCACTCAGCACGCTTCTCATATTAACCTTCTTTCATCCGTCTTCAAGTTGTGACAAAGTTGTGACATATTGCTTCAAGTTGTGACAAAAAAACTTCCAAAATTTGTCGCCATGTCGAATAAAACATGATTTTTTTCATATTATTGTTTTTGTGACTAAAAGTTTCAGAGTAGGTTTTCTATCTATTTTTTCAATATTTTAAATATTATGAACTGATTGGACGAGCTTACAGATCAATCCCCAATTTAGTCTTCTCTCTCTAGAGCAAAAATAAACAACAAAAACTCAAAAAGAAACACCAAAAATTTCATGTTTCCCAATTTTGGTATAGATTTTTGCGTAGTCACTTTCATTTTGTTAGAAGAAGCTATAGTCTAGTTATGATTTTTTTTTTCAATTTTGACTACCCAAAAAAGGTCATATTTTTGGGTAAGGTTTTACCCAAAAAATTTCATTTTTTCCAATTTTGGTATAGATTTTTGTGTAGTCACAATCATTTTGTCAGAAAAAGCTATAGCTTAGTTATGAATTTTTTTCAATTTTGACCTAAAGTAGCAGATTTAAATAGTGAAGGGCAAACTTGGTATCATATCTATGCCTTTTTGCTTTTATGCTCGGTGTATCTTTTTTATGCAGTCCATTTTCGCCGATCGAAATATTAGTTTTCAACAACAATTTTTAAACCTCATTAAAAATATTGACTTCTTAAGTTCAAATTTAAAAAAATATTTTACCTCCTATTATTTTTGTAAAGTTCTGGGGGTTTGAAAAATGCCAAACTGGCCATGTTATGGACTAAATTATGCGCGCTTTGAAGAGTTAATTCATAATGCTGAGAACATAACGCAAATTATTTATGCGTGGTGAAAACACCCGCACTACAAAATCGTTATAATTTGGATTGAGGTTAGATAATTGGTCGTATTAATTTCGGAAGACTCAAAATTTTACACTTTTGTATTGTCCAAAATTTATAGGTTTTCATTATTTTGTTGTCCCAAAAACTTTTCGATATGAATTAAGGGACAGTCGGAACATTCAAAATTTTACCTTGATATACGAGAAGTCTTGTTGTTCCGACTTTCGTAACGAAAGTAACGGAATATTTGTGCTCGGGGTGGGGGATTTTTATTTTTTCTTCAGACAAATTTCGACTTTTTAACTAGCCATTTTTGACGGGATTATTTTATATCATTCGAAAGGTATTGTTGTCCTGAGCTTAATTTTGAAAAGATATTTCACCTGTTATCATTTTCGTAAAGTTATGGAAATTAAAGATTGCAATTTTGGCTAATTTGGGACAATTAACGCGGGATATAATTCTTTTCATGTCATTACTGCGCCATAGACCTTAAGAGGCAGTCGGAACATTCAGAGCCTCCCCCTGATACGAGCAGTCTTGTTACTACTACTATCTAATCTATAAATCTACTATTAAAATTATTACAATTGCAGAATTACTACAATCTACTACAATTGTGTTCACTGAAAACAAACAACTAGGACATTATTCAGACAATTAAATAATATCTCAGTAAAATTTTTGGAGGCTGCTGCTCTTTTATTTTGTCTACTAAGTTTCCACAATCGAATTCAACTTAAACATTTTTTCTAGTTAGTTTAACTTAAGTTTTTTAAAACTCTTTTCTACTTTTCTTATTCAGCTTAGAACTCTTCTGTTATGTTTACACTGACCCAACAGTGACCGAATTACAGTGACCCAACAATGGACTTTTTAGAAGGAAGTTGATTGTCAGGGGGACCTATTCTTAAGTATAGAGAATTGATATTTCAGGTTGAATAAATCGGACAATGCAATTGCAAAGTTTGTGTTCAAGTGCATGTTCTGTTGCCTGTGGTGCCTAGAAAACATCATCAGATTCATCAACCGCAACGCTTACATCATGACAGGTAAGTGTCATTACCCCCGTCACGTTTTTACCCACAATTTTGAGCGGAGTCCGGGAAAATTAACCTCTCATTACGCTAAAAACTATCCGTGAAAAACTACAAGGCTAAGAATTCGGTGAAAAAATTTCCGCTGTTTCACCTTTTACAACTTCTAATAAACACTATGGAAAAAAACAGAAATCTTTAAACGAGAAAGTCAGATAACTCATGAAAAAAAAAACGAGAACATTCAAATAAAATTGCTCAAACGGTCAAAATTGCTCAAATCGACCAGGTTTGGTGTTGATGATGGTTGTGTGTTGCAGCCATATATGGCTACCACTTCTGCAAGGCGGCCAAGCGGGGCTTCACTCTGCTGGTGTCGAATGCAGTGAGAGTTGTGGCCATCAACACAGTCGGAGATTTCTGTCTGTTCCTCGCCAAACTCATGGTCGTCTTTGCAGTAGTGCTCATAGGCATCAAAATCACAGAAGTCAGTTCCAAAACACTATTTAAGAAAATCTCGCCAGCTTGAAGAAGAGCATCAGCTTAACATCCCGTAAAATAGATCAAAATTATGATCTTCCTCCCCTTCGTTTGGTTTGCATTAATTGTTTAATTGGCGTTTAATTGGCTAAAAATTAAAACCCGCAACAATTTCCGCGATTAAATTCTAGAATGTAACAGTCGCGAAGATCTTAACTCCCCGACCAATAGTTCATAGTCTGGACAGGGTTTGGAGTCGCGGACAAAGTCTATGCTATCGTATTTCGGACCTGATAGTCTGAAAATGAGTTGCGATTGTCTGTAAAAAACTGCACATGAGCTCAAATAAAGTCAGATAAGGAGTTTTGCAGGCAAAAATTATTGTTCTGCAGGACCTAATTCCACAATGAGTGAGCTTTTCGAATTTCAGAAAAAAACTTAAAACACAATAACAAAATTGAAACTTTTTGAACAGCAAAAATTTGTGGTATTTTGAAGTACGTGTTTCTTTATATTGTATCGCAAAATTGGCAAAAAAACTCTTTCGACGTTGATGTAGTTTCGCAAAATTATTTCGAAGATGATGTAGAGCAATGAGCTTTGCAATGTTGTTATATCCTATGATCTGAGTAAAGACTTGTTTTGTCATAAAACTGAATTCACACAAATACGAAATAGAATTTTCAAAGAGTAAACAAGACAAGTCTAGAGTCTTTAAAAAAGTCAGCACACACTGAATCTAAAATATGGTATTTCAGATTTAAGGTCTACTACCGTAGCAATACCACATTCACAATCTTATGGGAAAAAAATGTTGCTGTGTATCAATTTTACCAAAATTAGTTTTAGATCTATGAGTTTTAATCTCAGTTTTGACAAATCGTGAATGAGCACTGGCCTTTTTTCTCTGTTTTTCTTCCCCCTTTTTCTTTTTTTTTCAAGTTTTTGTCCCAGTCTAGTGGGCCAGTTTGCGCCCCAAGTTCTGTCCAGCTCGAGCTATTTTGGCGGTATTTTTGTGTAAGTAATTGCGTTTCAAATAGGGAAATTTATGTTCTGTCACAATCCTCGGTAAAATCCTAGTCGCCAGCTCTGTTCTATAATTTTTGGTTGCTTTTCCGTTTCTTCCGCTGTTATGGATGCATCTGTGGACGTTTCGGCCAGTTCATTTGAAGATATCTTTGAAGGCTATCCTTCGTACAAATCTGTTCTACTGTTTTCTTTTTTCACCTCTTTGCTATTTGTTCGGCCATTTCCAATCTTTCTTCGTATGTTGTTTCGTTTTTTTTAAAAAAATTTTTCTGTTTTATCATCTGCAATCATGTTTTTCTTGATGAATTTTTTCACGTCTAGCGCTTTTTCTTCTCTTTTTATTGGCGTGGATGTAGCTGGCCATGCCGTTTTTACAATTATGTTTCTGCTTCTTCTCTATCTCGTTTTTTGATTGACACTTTGTTTTCCAAATTTGTGTGCCGCTGTCTTTTTGTTCTTTTCCGGTGGTGTTAACCTGTTGTTCGGCACTGCTATTTAAAAATACATGAAATCCTTTCCTCGCCTTTTTGTCTTTAGAAGTCACTGTCTTGGGGCTCTCCTTAAAATCTCTGATGAACGGATCACTAAGAAAACATATTTAAGTCATCACACGATTCCGAATTTGATGACGAGGTTTCCATGAATAGTTGAATTTTGAAAGCCTTGCTCACTAGCTCTAATGAGGGACACTTTTTTGTCCTCCCCCAGTTGACTTTTTATAATCGCGAAATCGGAGTTTCTGTATACTGCCCTTTTTTAGTCGAATCCGTTTCCTTTTCAAAAAGTACTGCCTTTGGTACTGTCAGTGCTTTCCCCGAGAGTTGTTTTAGGTATTTACGAACTACCACTTTTTCACGATTTCACTGTTCAAGATGTCCAGTTTTTCTTCTTTGGGTCCGTTTGTACTGTTTCTTCCACGAACCGAAGTTTCTCGGAGTAAATCAATTACCTTTTCGGTTTTGGATTAGTTTTGTCGATTGCCTCTATATTTTGCTTAGCTTCGTCGCGCGCTGTATCCCGTCTTGTTTTAGTCCAACCTGCGTTATTTTCTGAGAAAATTCTCAGCATTGGCTGCCTGACCTTATTTTTGCTGGTCGCAAGTTGCTGCTTAAAGATTGGGCCCACTTCTCTGCTGATTTGTCAGTTTGAAACGTTCTTTAATTTCTCCCGTCTCTGATCATTTTGTCTCTTCAACTGGGAGAACGTTTGACGCCGTTTGGGGAACAAGCAGTTTTTTCTTGCCCTGTTTTGTACATTCTCTACACTATTCTGCCAGCTTCTCTTCATCTTTATGCAGTTGTGGCTATCAAAAATACGTTGAAAATTCCTTGTAGTATTTGCTCAAATGTTCTGTGAGTAGCCTTTTCATATTGGCTTTTGCAATGTTTGCGCACTGCAATACAATTGTCTTCCAAAATGCTGTCTTTCACCATAGCTACTCATCTTGTTAAAAAGTGGATCGTGGTATTTTTTCTCTGTTCAAACCCTGCATATCTTTTTGTTATACAGTTTGTCTAACTCTGTTCCACTATATAATTTCTGAGATCAGTTGAGCTCATAAATTTTTGTCCAGCATTTTCTCTAGATTTTCGAGAGCGTCATCCCCCAGCTGAGCTGCAGTAAAATTCATTGTTCATCCTTTTTTGACAATTGTTTCAACGGTACAGTTTTGACTATACTCTTTTCTGGGCTGTCCTCTTCTAACTGGAACAAAACTTCCTGAATTCTCCTCAGCGTCGTCATTGTCGTCTTCTCTTGTGTTGTTGTTTTTTGCGTTCATCATCTCATCACAATCAGTTTCAACCCTTAAATTCACTGGTAAAGGCACCTGACTCTATTCTTCTGGACTGGATCGTCTCATCCAACCTTCGAAAATTTTTATTTGTGTAGCTACTTCCGCTATTAATTTTCTCTCGGTTTGACCTTAGAGCTCCATCTTACCTTGTTGGCGACTTTTGTTGTGCTTCAATGACCGAACCATTGCCTGAACTCCTTGATTGCCATTGCATCGACTCATCGGTTTTCGTTTCTGCAGTTTCGATTTCAATTCCATTGCTCGTTTTCATTGAGTTCGATTTATGTTTGGAATTTAAGTACTCTTTCCGATTTGCAGTATGCATCTTGTTCAACCTTGGTCACCGGGTCAACTATATGTTGTTGCAGAATTGTGTAAAAATGTTTTTTTTTTCGCTCGTTTGGCAACGTTTAGAGCATCTGGTTTCGTACCGGCGGAGCTGTCTTTAGTGTTGTCTTCTATAGCAACGAGTTTCTAATGTTGACTTAACTCAGAGCAAGAGCGCTCTAAATCGTTTTCATTATGGTTCAACTCAATGTTTCGAACCAGTCGAATGCTCATATGCAAACAAGTGTCGCGTGTAACTTTTTAACTGATGGTTCTTGAATTTTTAAGCAAATCTGATTTCAACGAAATTTTTGCCAATGGATCCCTCGAAAGACATTCTACAATTAACAAATCTCTGCTGCGCAAGTGATTGACTTCAAACTCAATTGGCAGTAGCCTATCCGTTCATATAGTCAATTAAGATCGATAGGTTTCGTTTGCTGAGGTAGCATTAAGGGCTGATAACAACGTTTGATGATGCATCTCTAAAACTTATTCTAGTCCTGCATAAAACTGTTCAAATCTATTAAATGCCCATATTATTGGTAACCATTATAAGTTTTTGGTTGAGTACTTCTTCTGGTCTTTGAGAATTCCCGATGCGAAAGATATGGGAAGCCAATTTTTATTTTTGGACAGTTGTTTCAAGGTAGCACCTCGTCTATTTTGACAAAATTCGCGGTTTTCCTGATTCTGCGGAAAACTGAATATTGACAGTTTTAGCGCTGAATTTTCTTCAGCTAATATTTGCATGGCATTGCTCAGTAACAGCTCCTGATGTTACTCTCCCCTCCTTGACATTATCAAGAAGTCGTCTAGAAGGCAGAAGTTTTTCAGTGTATTGTTCAACGGGCGGTCTATAGCCTTCTGAAGCTCTGCTGACATGTTAAACTGATTGGCTCTTTCCGCAGTTACACTGATTGGTTGTTTCACTGATTGACTGTTTACACTGATTGGCTGTTTCACTGATTGGCTGTTTCACTGATTGGCTGTTTACAGTGATTGGCTGTTTCCGCAGTAAATTACACTGATTGGCTGTTTCTGCAGTAATTACAGCTGACTATTCATGGATTTGAGGTCTAAAACTGAGACATATTACATGTTTTCTGTTTTCCCCGGAACAATTTGACACACTACATTTAATAAATCGTTTACGATGTTACTTGATGCTTTTCCTTACAACTAACGATTCATTGGGTTTGCGTCTGATGTTAGTTAAATGTGTCATACTTTTATTGTAATAACACTTAGTGCCATATAAGACTCACTACTGGATTTTTTTAGTTCTAAAAATGTGCCTCATTGAGTAGTTTCTTTCTCTTTTTTTTCAACCTTCTACTGAAGATGGTTCGCCATACGTCATACAAATGGGATTTAACATATAGTTGAACTATGATATCACTTTGCAAAGTTTTGGCACATTTTTTTTGTCGAAGAGTTTTTAGACTTTTTTCTCTGGTTAGCGATCCGGTATTTCCTCACCTTGTAGCTCATGGAATCGCGTCCTAGAATTCAAAGCAACTCTCTGTGAGGTTAATATCTTCAGCTTTTCTTGCAGAACAACCTAATATGCGCCCAGATACTGTTCTGTAATTATGAGATTTTACTTTTGGCATTACCCAACCCCCATTCCCCCAGCTACGGTGGTCATTTTTGCTTTCAAGGTTATTTTTTTGACAGTTTTTGTCATTGTCGACAAATTGCGCAGTTTTATTCAATTTTTCACATGATATGAATATTGCCGAGTGTGCAAAACCCAAAAGTTCTTTAGCCGTGGTTCAGTTTATGAAAAACCACGGGACTTCCTCTGCCCACTGTCACGTGAGTGATGTGGTTGTTCTCTCTAACTAATGGCT